AAGGATTCAAACTTTTCTCCCACCGGAATAAAGCAGGCAGTAGACCAAACCACTGTGAGGCAAGGGAATGGGGACTCAAAATGTCACCCCATAGTCTGGGTTAGTTGTGCGCCCAACATAAGCTGGGGTCAACAGTAACATTATAGATAAGCAATAGATAGCAACATCTTGCATTGAAAGCTTTTTATTCAACACTTCAATTGTTGAACACTATTATTTAACATCATTGCTGTTTGTGTGTGTGTGTGTGTGTGTGTGTTTGATCCAAGAATCTCATCAGCTGTCTGTCATAGAACTGAAGTCCCCAAGTGTTACTTGTAAGTTGCCCACCAGTTTTATCTAATAACTTAAGAACTATGAGTCAAACGGTGTGGACTATACCCATAAATGACCACATCAACATCTCAACTTCCTGAGGATGTTAGCCACAGCAGCCAACAGCTACTGTAGGGGAGTGCGGGGTAAGTTGTAACGAAGGGCTGAATTAAAAATGAAAATGCAGGCATTGAATTAATGAAGACAGTGTGACAACAACTTACTTTGTCTTTTGATACTTACCTCCAGATTCTTAAAAACATTGATAATTACATTAATTTAACCGGATATCCTATTACATATAACATCTGTAACTATATGTTTTAATATGATTTTTCAGAAATGTAAATAGGACAATAAAGTCAGCACATCAGTGTTGCAAACAGTTATTAATTATGTACACAAGGCCTACTATTAATGTCAGCACCAGCACAGAAAGCTGTAGCATCTTTTATAGAAATCCAGTCGTTTGTGAGGGATTTCAAAGGGTCTGTGTACAACATAAACTCAATCAATCAGTTTATTATTTGCCCCAAGTGGGCAATTTGTGCGGCAGCAGGCATGTTGGCACACAACAAATATCAACAAAATGACATAGACAATCAGTATAATACAGAAACACACAACAGTGAACCTATGCTAGGTTCCTTACGCCAATGCAACGTCGTTGTCATAGCTTATCTGAAGCAGGTCATAAGTGACCACTATTGCTACCCAGGCCCATAAATAATATACAAACACATTAACCCTAGTACTGAAAACGTAAAATAGTGTGATGTACATCATCATTACCCAACGTATCTGTCTTAGTCCGACTGAGAGGTCAACACTATGAATGAACTATATGTAGGCCTGCTACAATATATTACACTACTAATATTCTGCACCACAATAAATATCTCACACTACCGATACGATATTTTGAACAACTTTTACACTAGATAAAGTATATTCACTGCAAATAAGATACCACAGATAGATATAATACATCTCAGTACATTCAAAAACCAATATACACATAACATAATTGCCCCAATCTCTTGTTGACATGATCATCGTCAACCATCCCCCCAACATCAATAAGGTGGTTACCTCCTTCTGCTATTGGCATTTGAAGCTTGAATGGAGACAGGGAAAAAGAAGATCTTATACTTATAATAAATTGCTTCTCAATTTGTCGTTTCCTTGCTCCTCGCTCAAACCGGAATTTGTTCTGCACCGCCATCTTGCAAAGCGTCCATAGACAGTAGCCTATACAGTCCCCTCCAAAGGTATTGGAACGGTAATGTCCTGAAAAAGAAACTACTGGTGTACTGAGCAACAGACGTCCAACAGGTCGGCCAAGGAAAACAACAGTAGCTGATGACAGAAATATCATGAGAGCTGTGAAGAAAACCCCCAAAACATCAGGAAGTGACATCAGCAATGACCTCCACAGTGCAGGGTGAAGGTATCACAATCCACTGTTGGAAAAAGACTCAGAGAGCAGAAATATAGAGGCCGCACCACAAGATGCAAACCACTCATCAGCAGCAAGAATCAGAAGACTAGATTGAAATTTGATGAGATCTGATGAGACCAAGATTAATCTCTAGCAAAGTGATGGAAAGGCCAATGTGTGGAGAAAGAAAGGAAGTGCTTCTGATCCGAAGCGTACAAGCACATCTGTGAAGCATGGTGAAGGTAATGTCATGGCTTGCGCGTGCATGGCTGCTTTTGGAACAGGCTCATTAATATTTATTGATGATGTAACTGATGATGGTAGCAGCAGAAGGAAGTCAGAAGTGGACAGAAACATTTTGTCTGCCAGTTTATGGAGAAATGCATTGAAGCTAATGGGGAGGAAGTTTATCATGCAGCAGGACAGTGACCCAAAGTACACTGCCAAAAAAAACAAAAGACTTCATCAGGGGAAAAAAGTGAAAGGTTTTAGACTGGCCAAGTCAGTCACCTGACCTTAACCCAATAGAGCTGCATTTCACTTCCTTAAGAGGAGACTGAAGGGAGAAACACCCCGAAACAAACAAGAAGTGAAAGAAGCTGCGGTAAAAGCCTGGAATAGCATCACAATGAAGAATGCCAGGAAATAAAAGCTGAAATTCTCTTTCAGCTCTTTGAAAAACTCTTGTCTCATACTCATCTTTTGATCTTAAACCCAAATGTCTTTAGTGAACAACAAAAACAAAGGAATTTGCCTTACCGTGCCAATACTTTTGGAGGGGACTGTATTACTGGACGAAGCCTGCACTCACTTTTAGGCTTTCCGCGGGGTGAAAGCCTAAAAGTGAGTGCAGGCTTTGATTGAGTTACGCCTACAGCATTGCAATTTCCACTGAAATATTTAGCCTAATAAATCAAAGGACCCCGTGATCATATTCTGGGTTATCCAATAGACCTAATTAATACACAATCAATATTAATAAAAACATGCAAATAATTAATAAATAATATAAACGCATTCTGCAATTTCTGCTGAGAAGGACAATATAGCAAATACAGACAGAAAACATTCAGCTCTGTGATCTCAGCACAGTGCACAGGTGTGCACACACAAACTCCATCAAAAGTCTCTTCAGCTGTTGAAGCCATCTGATACTGACAGCTGCATTAGCTGATCCAGCCGTCATCAGAAACGGACGTCGCTTCATGCTTCAGAGAAAAGGACTTCTCATGTCTCTAAAAACATACTCCCTCGTTCCTTCTCTCCTGGCATGGTGTGCTTGCTTCTCTCAATGCATCCCCGGTGGGCGGGACTAAGACGCAACAAAAAGTTGCAAGTGAGGGAAACTTGCAATTAAGAGACTTGAGAAGCACATTCTGCCCTGCGATGCACTGGCGACCTGTCCAGGGTGTGCCCCGCCTTGCGCCCGATAACAGCTGGGATTGGCTCCAGCCCCCCCGCGACCCTGTACGCAGGATAAGCGGTTGACGATGGATGGATGGATGGAGAAGCACATTCTGTTTCACCCCGTGTTGACAGTAAGGGCGGTGGGTCCGCTGTTAACGACCGGGAGTTGGCTTAGGGACCGTAAATAAATTACTATTGTTTTATTAGTGTTATGGTAAAATCATCAGTTTTTCAATAGCTTCTGTGTCAGTGATACTAATTAAAGTTAATACAATAATTTATTTACAAAATGATTTTTTTTTAAATTATAATTTACAAAATCAAATGTAACAGTAAAGATTGTTAGAAATGAATGAAAACAAATCATAAAAGATATTAAACAAATAGTAAATATTGTGCAAAATATTAAAAGTTAGGCTACCTCCCGGAACAGCAAGGACACTCCCTCTACCAATTAGAGGGAAAAACCTGTTCCTGTGGTTGCAGCCACCAGTAATACCTTGGTGAAACTCATAGATGCACACACGCACACACACATGTTGTCACATTTTGGCTCAATTAGGAATTTTGCAGCGGTTGTCAAAAACATGGTAGCCTAATTTATTATTGTGGGCCCAAACGCATGGACTTTTAACTGACTTCTTTGCTTAATCTGTAGGCAGTTTCTGCCAAACAGTTTTCCAAAAACAGTGTGGAATTTGATCTTTTTATCAAATCAGTTAAAGGTTCACTTACTCACAGGCTAGAGCTTTCCTAACTGATTGGACTATTTCACTTCACTCTGAATGTTAAGTTTTTAAAAATGTTTAGCGAGCTTAAATTTCATCAGAGCCCACAAGTCACCTATCATGGAAGTTATTGGAAAAAGCATTTATTCCGTAAAATGTGAATAAATATTAATATAAATTTGAGTCCCTGGTTCACATGACAGGAAAGCTACTAAAAAAAAAATCTTTAAAAATATTAAATATTAATATAAAATAGAATATGCACTCTGCACTCAAATCTAAGGGAATGTGTCATTTGTCCAGTGTAGTAGGCTAATAAAATTCGGCATAGGTTTGGAGTTCCTGAATCATGAATGAAAAAAATCAATTTTTTCATTAAATTTCGTCCAGTCTAGATCTACAATTTGGCACTGGCTTGGAGTCCTTCAATCACATTACACACAAACTGTTGACTCGACTGGCCGTGCTCAGTTTTCCATTGCAGATAGTACCCAGAGATAGATCTCCTCACTGTAACTGGTCGTCATAGCCACATCACACACAACTGCCACTACGTAATGTTCAATGTGACACACCAGCGATCCACACAGCTTTCTCTTTTTTAAGTTAAAACGTTTCCTCAGACAGTAAAGACAGATAAGCGGTATGAAAACCTTCCAGCTGTGTTTTCCTCTGCCATTGTTGCTGTCTGTGTGACTGTGAGCGGGCGGCTGGCCGGCCTCACACGCTCCTCAACTCTGAAAACTTTCAACATCTACACAGCTGCACTTCTCAGAAGTGGATTTAGTGATGAAGGTACAAAAAATGTAAAATATAAAACTTTCTGTTGCTGGCCTCTGTCTGGCGCACGCAATGAGGATGCAGTAGCCTAAATAGTGACCATTCTCTCTGACCAATCAGCAGTCTGCTGTGTTTTCAAGTCACGTCGCCTCAGCTCACTTGGAACCTCGACGGAGGTGATACGAAAAAAAGTACCTGGAAGCAGCTACAGGTCAAACTTTTCCACAATGGAAAACCAAACAAAGGCGAGTCGAGCTGGTACCATGCAGTGGAAAAGGAGCTATAGTAATTTATTGATGGTCCCTAAGCAAACAAGCCCTTGGAGGTGAGCGTACCACCCCTATTCTGTTAACACTGTGTGAAACTGAGCAAGGAGACGCCACTGGATCTTGAGTGAAAATCTGTCAAATTACCAACTTAAAACAAACTCTCCTGCGATAAATAACCTTACTGAGGTGGACCGTTATCTGAGCGGATGTGTGGGGTTGTGTTAATCACCTGCGGCACAAGACGTTGAACTTTCGTTTTTGGATTGTGTCTTCAGTTTTTGGATCATCAATCTTCAACTTCATTATTGGTAAGTGTTGCTACATCAGACTACAGCAGCTATAGGTTATGGGGCTGAAGTTACTAAGTTACCGATCATCAAAAGAAGCAGGTGGAACAATAAAGGCTATTAATAGAAACTCAAACCCATTGTCAATAAGCTAGAGTAGTAATAACCTATGCGATAGACTTCTGTTTGTAGTTTAATTTAAAAAGATCAACATTTTATGAACCACTTGTGTGTAAAAGGGCTTCCCATTCCACTTGTAAAACGCCATAAGTTTTATTGATTATTGTTTTCATTCACCTGTCATTTAAACCAGCTTTCACACCTAAGCTGTTTGGTTCTGATAAAACGAACACCATCTACGGTTCGTTGGGGCAGATGTGAAAGCTGCCAATCGATCTCTGGTGCTGACCAAACAGCCGCACGTTAGACACATGGGAAAAAAAGCTATGGGATAGTTCGCACACTGAGCCTCAGTAACAAATGAGCAGAGCAATGAAAACGAAAATATTTCCACCATAAATTGATGCAGAAAACGACAAAAATCGCTACAGAATAATTCATCAGCATGCAAAAGTGTAACCTCTAATGTTGAAACCAAACCAAAAACTTTGTTTATTACATTTATTAAGTGTTTTTAGAGTTTGTATCACAATAACTGGCATTTTGAAACATTTTTTTTACCCTAGAAACGCTTTTCCTACATTGAAGTGGGAGGGAGCAGCCTTTAACAGAGCGGATGTGCGCAGTGTTGTGTGTTTTACAGCAGGCACAAGACGGTGAACTTTCGTTTTGGGCAGGCACGTGCACACAAAAAAGGGACAGCACCTGCCCTTTTTCTTCCTCAACTGTCCTTTGTTGTTTTTAAATAAATGAATATACAGTACAGAGTCGGCGTCAGACTGAGCTCAGCAAGGGGGCAATTATTTTCAATGGCTGGGCACTAGTAATGGGGAATTTTTTCGGATATCCTACAGGCTAGTTATTATCGCTACTGCCCTACTGCCATATCTGTAAGTGACTAGCCTGATGCAAACCAACTCCTCCTAAACCGGCTCTATTATAAACAAAATTAATTCTAACTTTAAGATTAATTAATCTCACTGACAGGAGAGAGGCATCTTAATTCTAGTTTGCTCTACATAACACCATACAAACACACTCACAACTTACACAGAGATTTTACAATTTCCATTATCAAAAAGAAATAAAACAGCTCTTTCTCCATGGGGGGAGAGACATTTCAGGACAATGGACAGCGCATAACTGAAAAAAATAACTAGCCTAAATAGGCCTACTAAATTGATAGTCTAGAAAACAGACAACACAAAATAGTGCACTTTGACAGTAGGCAACATAGGATAATAGACTACCGGAGAACCTAGATAAATACACTAACAACCGGCCTACATGAAACCCTACATTGAACTCACAGTTAGAATTGGAACTGATTGGAACTTCTTGAGAAGCGTTAAACTAGTATGGTGTGAAGCTCTCCTGTGTTCGGAGAACACATGTTTTAGAGTGGAGATCGAATTTTCACAGGTCGCAGCAGAAGCATCAAATACCAAGGCCAGCTGGAGTGCCGTTGTTGTGCCGAATTCTGCCTGCCTGCTGAGCATTGCATGCACCTTGCGGCTGGTAACGCTCATTCATGCTGAGAAAAAAGAGGTGGATGCAAATTTCGGCAGGTAGCCTACAACATTCTTGCAGATGTTGTAGGTACATCCACCTCTAAAAGTCCTTTTCTGACACTTTGCTGTGCTCATTGATCAAACGCGGTAATCACCACATCTTTTAGCTGAATCTCAATGAATGATACTTCTAGCCTACTAAGTGTAATAAAATATTAACAACTCTAAACGTTTAAAAAAATGTAACCTATACTTCATTTGCAGACACTGTTCTGCTGAGTTGTTAATTTCTCTCTTTACAAAGTAAATGGACACATGTAATTTACTTTACCAGACCATAGTCTCTCCAAATCCTGTGGGAAACACTGAGAAAAAAAGCACATTTTGATTATTCAATTTATGCAATGGTAAAAAAAATTAAAAAGGCAAAATAAATAGAAAGTAATGTAAAACACCTTGTTCGTTATTCATTATAAAGTTTTTCATTATATTCGGTTTTGGCTTCGGCCAAGAATTTTAAAGCATCCCTAGTTCTGGAGCTAGGCACCTAAGCATTTCACTCTACACTGTACTGTGTATGACACAATAAAACTTGAAGGAATGCAATAAACTTGCTAAAAATGTGCCTTTACGTCACATATGTCAGCCGAATAATCTGGTTAGTCACACAGTTAAGTTGGAGAACATTTATGCCAACGCAGTGATTCCTAAACAATGGACTAGCACCCCTAAAAATGCACCAGCGGTCTCTTTTCTGTGGAGTTCTTACATGACAGCAGAACAATATTCTATTGAATCTGTCTGACAGAGTGAGAGTGATTTTATTCAGTTTGAGCCCCGGGCTTAAACATTTAACAGCTGCTTCATTCAACTATCTGAGTTCGTGAAAACTTCAACACAATTCAAGCAACTCATGAATTCTAGAACAAACAAACGATTATGCGTTTACTTGAAGAACACAGACCAGCGTTGCGGTTAGGGAGGATTGCGTACAAGCTAAATGGAAATATGATCAACCTGCATTCAGGCTGTGTGATACAAGCAGACTGAAACACAAATGGGAAATAAAAGTTTGCATATGGGTCTAAACAACAATATCTTCATGCAATCTAGCTTTCAGGTTTGTAAGCACAGCGCATATCTTGTCTCAATGGACTCGTGACCTTTGTAGTCTGTCAGCTCGTTTCTGTTGCCTGTCTTTTCTGTAGTGCTCTTCAGTAAACAATGTAATGAGGCAGAATTGCCTTTAGGACAGCCAGAAAATTTAAATGGCCCCCTAAATTACTCTGGAACAACCTCTGATGTTTTCTGACAGGAGAATTCTAATTTTGTTTGAAGCCACCAGCTACGATGTGCTGTTGTCATCTCCTCAGTTCCCTGCAGGCCCTGACAATGGAGAGACAGGAGCCCAGATGTTACATATGGGGGCTTGTGACTGCAAGGCCATTAGTTAATTTGAGTGGTAAGAGGTAATGAGAAACAGTTTATCTTCTCCCTTACAAAATAACCACAGTGTCTTGGTTACAAGCCTGGCCGGGCACCTTTGTCCCATATTGTTTCCATTTTTCTCTCATAAGTTCTGTTGCTGCCACTACTACTACTACTACTACTACTACTACTACTACTGGTCATATAATTGAACCTTAATATTGAACCTTTTCACAATATTCTAATTTTCGGAGATACTGATTTTGGGGGTTTCATTAGTTGTCAGTTATAATCATCAAAATTAAAAGGAATGAACACTTGAAATATATCAGTCTGTGTGGAATGAACGTATACATTATACAAGTTTCACTTTTTTAATGGAATTACTGAAATAAATCAACTTTTTGATGATATTCTAATTATATGACCAGCACCTGTACATATGTTAAATAACAACAACCAAAAAAAAAACTGTTGTACACAGCATTTTGTGTCTGAAGAGTGAGCTGTGTGAAATTTGATAAATGTCCTCAAGGGATGTCATATGAGTCAGCATCAGTTGGGGCTTGAACTGAACGACAGAATAGGTCAATAGTTGATGTCTCCAAAATGACTGAAATGAGCGTTTGGTTCCCCATTGCAACACAGGGTGCTTAACCTTATCTGCAAGCACATTGACCTAGGCTGATGTAGTTACAGATAAGTGTGGTTTTCTGGGTTAGGCCAGCTTAAAATGACAATGAAAAAAACAGACCTCTGCAGCCCGCGGAGCCACGAACTAGCCGGGCTTTCTTGATCTTGCTGTCAGTAGACTCGTTTATTGACGTGTGGATGTAGTAGAATTTAGGCCTACAGTCATTTGAGATTCAGAGTTGGGGTTTATAGGCGTGGATGAAGCAGCTGGGTTTGGAACCATTTTCTAGCGTCCATTTTGGAGCTTTGTTTTGATATGTGCACTGCCGCCAGGTATCTCCCGCTAACTCAGAGTCATTTCATGCACATACTAACGTGCAAGTGCATCGGGAGGGGGGGAAGCAGGGAGATTTCCTCACAGAGCCACACTGAATTTTATGTTAACTTTGTGATGTTTTCAACAAAGTAACTGTTTGTAAATGTATTTTATTATTCCTAACTGAAATGTGAATTAAATTAATCATTTTGTAAGTTATATCATAATTCTTTTTGCGGGGGCATAAAAGGCTTTGGGGGAGCATTGCCCCCTAATGCCCCCCTATACCGCCGACTCCGATACAGTATATTTATTCCTGTTTTCGCTCAGCTTCCCTGTCAAACAAACATATACTGGGAAAATAAATATCAGGTGGGAAGATGAGACATTGAGTTCGATGCCCTCTCTCTCCCTCGCTCGTGTCTCCCGCAGCAGCACAACACACAGACAGACAGACAGCAGCCCCTCCCAGCTTCTGGCTTGTGTGGAGGTGAGTGTATGAACAAAAGACTAAACTACCAGTGAAAAAGCAAAAGACAAAACAAAAGGCAAAAGGCCAATATAGGCCTACTTGCTAACATGCGTGACACATGAGCTGAGCTAATGCAATAAGTTAGCTGAAGTTTAGCTAAGGCAATATCTCATGGCCATACAGGCTGATGTACTGTACTGAATGGAGACACTACAGGTGAATACAGTAAAAAACGTCATCACAATCGCCACATTCATATGCAAATTAGGCATTGACTAATTAACATGCACTAATTTGCACACATTTGACAAGTCACTGCAGGTGAATGGGATAAACAAAATTACTAAAGCATATTTAGTATTTTCCTCTGAAATGTTCTATGTAAATATGCAGATTAGCTTGTTTTGGTTCATTTAGAAGAAATCTATGCAAACAGATGGAGGGTAGCAGGCTTAAAACCAACACCAACTAAATGTGTATTCTTGAAGTTTTATTTCCATTACAGTAAAAGAAGACACAGAAGCAAAATAGACCAGAGTCT